TGCTACATGAAGTCTTACTTATCATTTTGGTCAAGAACATGCAGCAAATCCTCATGCAGTCTTCTACCCCAACCCCCTCACATTATTTCTCCTTCAGTCACCTGTGCTCTGTAAATTACAGGTTTTTTTTTTTTTTTTTTAGCAGCCTGATATTCTAATATCTGCTATTCTAAGAGACTTTTGTTTTCTTGGGCTCCAAAGTCACTGCATATGGTTACTGCAGCCATGAAATTTTTTAAAAGACACTTGCTCCATGGAAGAAAAGCTACGACCAACCTAGGCAGCATACTAAAAATCAGAGATATCACTTTGCGGACAAAGGTCCATCTCATCAAAGATATGGTTTTTTCAGTAGTCATGTATGGATAAGAGTTGGACTATAAAGAAAGCTGAACATGGAAGAATTGATGCTTTTGAACTTAGTGTTGGAGAAGACTCTTGAGAGTCTCTTGAACTGCAAGGAGGTCCAACCAGTCCATCCTAAAGGAAGTCAGTCCTGAATATTCATTGGAAAGACTGATGCTGAAGCTGAAACTCTAATACTTTGGCCACCTGATGTGAAGAATTGACTCACTAGAAAAGACCCTGATGCTGGGAAAGATTGAAGGCAGGAGGAGAAGGGGACAACAGAGGATGAGATGGTTGGATGGCATCACCGACTTGATGGACATGAGTTTGAGCAAGCTCCAGAAGTTGTTGATGGACAGGGAAGCCTGGCATGCTGCAGTCCATGGGGTTGCAAAGAGTCAGACATGACTGAGCGACTGAACTGAACTGATACTCTAATTTCTGCTTCCTCAGCTCATTGAGATTGAAGTTTAACTTGATCTTCAACTCCCTGAGTTTGGTCAGGAAAACCATGGTAGCTCACTGGGCATACTACCCTTCTCTCAAGGATCAAAGTCCTGCTGTGACCATTTTCCAGTGCCTAAAAAGAATTGTTTCATATGTTTTGATAGTTTTATACTTATTTATAGCAGGAAGGCAGGTCCAGTACCAGTAACGCTGTCTTGGCTTGAATAAAGAATCCATGGGTTTCTGTTTAATTTTCACAAAACCTTGTGAGATGGTATTTGTGAAGTAGGTAAAGTTATTATAACCCAATCTTATGGAGAATTAAACTCAGATGAACTGGTGAGTGGGGGAATCAGATTTAAAACCTGAGCAGTCAGATTCAGACTCCATGAATCTGATTTAATAAATGATGCTGCTTCTGCAATGTGAAATTATATTTACTACCTTTGTTGCATTTATTACACTCTATTTTTCTCATATTTATTAATATTTGTTTTTTAAACTTTGCTACCTCTTCTAATGTGTACAAACAACACAATTCCTGTTTACAACTGCTACCCCACTGCCTAGCACAGGCTCTTGGTTAGCATTCAATAAATATTTGTTGAATGAATGAACGTAGTTGAGAGCATTATAAAACAATTTTGAAAAGAGGCGTCTTTCTACATATTTGCCATTTTAGACTTCATCCTGCTTGCCACCTAGTGGCATCAAAATTCTACAGCATAGTAGGCTAAGGAAACTCAAACAGGGGCTCTGTATCAACCTAGAGGGGTGAGATGGGGAGGGAGATGGGAGGGAAGTTTAAAAGGGATGAGATATATGTATACCCATGGCTGATTCATATTGAGGTTTGGCAGAAAACAATAAAATTCTGTAAAGTAATTATCCTTCAATAAAAAAATAAATTAATTTTTAAAAAAGGCCAAAAAAGAAAAAATTCTACAGCGTAAACAACATCAGTCTAAAGATTGGAAATAGGCAAAAAAGGTGATATGTATTATTAGAGTCTTTAGAATTATACCTATCAACACATAATTATATGAGAAGAAAGAGTTATAGCAGGATTTCCATTCTTGATAAGATAGCAGTAATTAGAAATCAGTCTCAGGAATGATCAAGACACCACTGACAAACAATGACAATAGTTTGATGAAGTGAGCACAGAGTTTGTATGTTAGACTGGTGACTGTAGGCATTACTTTGGTTTGAAGTTAAAAAAAAATGACATCCAAATATGCTGCTTTGGATATGTTATTTAAAAAAGAAAAACTTGCTAATAGTTGTTTCTAAAGACTTTGTTGTCTTCCCTGTGTCTCAGATGGTAAAAGAATCTGCCTGCAATGAAGGAGACCAGGGTTCAGTCCCTGGTGGAGAAGATCACGAGGAGAAGGGAATGGTAACCTGCTTTAGTATTCTTGCCTGGGAAATCCCATGGAAGGAGGAACATGGCAAGCTACAGTCCTTGAGGTCACAAAGGGCTGGACATGACTAAAAGACAAATACTTCCACTTTTTTTTTCAAAGCCTTTGTATTACTTATCAGCATATTTTAAATGGCAATACTCAGCTAATTAATTTCAAAATGTATCTTTGTTGAACCTAAAACCATACAGTTATGGTTCTTGTAGTCTTCTACATGACAAAACAATATGCACTTATTTTTATCAAAAGCAAAACTACATGATGGTTTTCAAGCTAATTTCTGTGTTAACAAATCTAAAGATATGCAGTAGGCCTCTTTAATTTACATAAAATTAAAGAAAGGATGCTTCAGGAATGCAAATAAATGCAAAAAGGGAATATTTTAATTTTGATCCATGATTAGTATCACCCATCACAGTGTGGTAATAATACAAAAGAAAGATTCTGCATTCAGTGTATAACTAATGGTTATAAGATATTTATAGACCAAATATCCTGATTATTTGAGAAATATATTTATGTTTCAGATTCTATTTTAAAAATCAGAGATCTTTAAAAACATTTTAATATTAGAATCATATGCACTGATTTCTGTAGTTCTGCAATATGACAAGCCTAGAAAAATGATTTATTTCACTTAGTGCATAATTAATTGTATGAATTGACTGTTTAACCTCTATTGATTTCCATTTCTTAGTTAATGTTCAACTTAGAAGCAAAAATTATTTTATAATAGAAAAAAAAGGATGCAGAAGTTAATCCTAGCATAATAGGGAAGATCATTTTACTTTTCATCTTTATATTGTATACCCTCCCCTCAGTAATTTTCAAGGACTTGAAAGGGCACTCTTAGTTTTAAAACAAAAGTTTCAAAGTCTAAATAGTGAACTTATTGAAACTAATCCTTGCATCCTTAGGAACCGTAGCATTTTATTGTTTCTTATAGTACTATTTTGGTTAATGTTCATTAAGTTATTTTTATAACACTGAATTGAATTTTGGCATGATCGTGCCATTTAGAATTTTTTTATGATTAAAAAAATGATTTGAAAATCCATCAAACCATTGTAATATTCAGGAGATATTTTGATTAATATGTAGGCAATGTTGATGGCACGTCATATGTGTAGTGAAAACCATGGGCAAGGTGATAAATAATTACTTTCAGGTGCATCTCAATTCATTATTGTTTATGTATGCCTGTAGATTTTCTGGCTATTCCCAATTTCAAATATTTTATTGTGCTTACAAGTCACCCAAGTGGCTCAGAAATTCCAATATTTTGACATACTGAAGTATACATTACATTTCCAATATTGGCCCTTTCAAATGGAAATGAAATAAAATTCTTCCAATGTAACCATATGTCCTGATATTGGGTTTGGAAACTACGGTTGCATAAGGTGTTTCCAGAAAAGATAGAGTCAGATTTTCTTTGGTATCAAAGAGAATCTGTGTTTAGGTTCTGCAGTTTATTTAAAGCAAAAAGTTTCTTTCCAGCAGGTTATCTTAGGAATTTCAAAGTGATTTTGTTGTCAGTAGGCTCTTGATGTCAAACTTAAGCCTTTAAGTTTGAAGTCTCCATAGAGCTATTAAGAATATCTGATGGAACTTCTATATCATTGTGGATATAGAGTTATAAATGAGTTTTAGCATGTTGGCAGATCTTGTGCTCACATAATGAGTCTTAATATAATTGATGGTTATGTTTCCTACTGGTTATTAACAGGGAAGGTGTTATGTTTTCATGTTGATATTAGTTTTGTTATTTGTGTACAAAAGAAATCCAGGATGTATGAGCTCAGAGAATGAACAAGACTAAAGTTTTAGGTAAATTGCTCTAAATCAGGCAGGGAGGTATAGAGGCATCATAATTCTAAGAAAAGAGCTATTTAAAAGATATAATCATTTTATCAGATTAAACTGAATACTATCCATGATAAGATCAAGGCCTTTAGGGAACAAGATGTAGGAGAGGACATTTTTATAGGAAAAAACATAGGGCTGGGTAACCTTGAGGATTCTAGGAAACCGAAAGCTAATACAGAGTTCTGAAGAGGATAGAAATATATAAAAGAAATCTTAAAGGACAATGATTAAAAAGATGATTCATACCTTTGCACAGCTGTCACACTTGCCCCTTCATAACATCCTTTGAATCAGTTACATTATCACCAAATGAGCCATAAACTTTTGTGTCTTTGCTCATGGTTCACAGCTGGAATTTCTTTCCACCATTCTTTGTATCTCAGTCAGTTTGGGAAATCTTTCTCATCCTTCTCACACCTTACTTCACCTTATTCACTTCCTCCTTTATTCGGAAAGTCACTTGCTACTGCAGTTGTCTGCCTTTTTATTTTGTCCTGCTTTGGGCTTCCCTGGTGGCTCAGAGGTTAAAGCATCTGCCTGCAATGTGGGAGACCCAGGTTCGATCACTGGGTTGGGAAGCTCCCCTGGAGAAGGAAATGGCAACCCACTCCAGTACTCTTGCCTGGAGAGTCCCATGGACAGAGGAGGCTGGTAGGCTACACCCCACGGGGTCGCAAAGAGTCGGAAATGACTGTGTGACTTTCACTTTCACTTTATGATAGTTAATTATGGGTTTATTTCTTCCCTTAGGTTTTGAGATGCCCTTTGTGGTCTCTCTGATTGTCTAGCTTAACATAAATCAAGTAGTAAAGAGATGGTTTTGGTTTTGTGATTATATTTAAATGGAATCTAAGTTAATCCTACAAGCTCACATCATACTCTCTACTTGCAGTTGTTAACCCTTCATTTTACCTGTGCGCATGATTCAGGGCAAGGTCAGGTTTCCTCATTCGCAGATAGCATGCAACAAGCTTTGTCTCAATGAAACTTGCCACACTAGCTATATCTTCAGCAGATGCTTCAAATGGTTTTCCCAGAACTGCTCCTTTGCTGCAGATCTTTAAAAGAAAAAAATATACAATGTTTTAAAGTTTCTAATCATCTTGACAAATAATTGATCTTTTAAATCAACAAAACATAATATATACACATACTTTTCCAAACAAGTAAACTATTAACATTTTGATTGTAAATTAATCAAATTTTTCCTGTTCACTATTAAGTGACTGTAAGTAACACATTTTATTGTAAAATGCTTCCTGTAAAATATTTTTAAAGTATGATATATTTTAAAGGGGTGCCATTAGCTAAGAATGTCTGTTTTTAAAAATAAAGCACACAATAAGCAAAGATATTAACAGAAAACCAGGTATAAATCATATTAAATACCAGTGCTTTTATGAAAACCCAGCTAAGCAATAATCTAGCACACTATCAAGTTTGATTTACTATAATAAGTGGTATCGGAAGTAAACTCCTAGGAGCCATTAACATGATTGGTGATTAATTTGAGTCTGAATCATATTCTCTAGGATGTTATTGAAAGAAAAGAAGTGAAAATTTATTAGAATTTATTGGCAGCGGCCACAGTATCTGAAAAACATGGCAGGAATGTGGAATTCTTAATAAAAATTCCAGGAAGTCAATGGTTTCTGGGCACCATAGATAAACTGTAGAGGAAGAAAATAATTAATTTGGGGGAGAGAACCCCAAACATTAAGAAGTATCAATAATATGACAAGGATAGATCGGTACTTTTTTTCCCCCTTAGAGTTTTCTACTGCTCCTGAGAATCGAGGCTGATGGGGGAGGAGAGACTTCGCCATCACTTAGTGACCTTATTCAGAATATCTGCTTCTCTGCTATTTTCTATCTCCTGTATGCTTTTCTCACTAGGGGTAGTAATATTTGGGGATTAGTACCTCTTTGTATATATCTCTGTGTAAGATTTCTTGTATTCTAAATCCTGTTTTTTAAAAAATGTTATTTAAACTAATTTTCTTTTGTAGATTAAGTTGAGGTTGCCTTGCCATTTACATTAACATTATTGTCTATTTTTTAAAGTGCAGATAGGTTGAGAATGGGTTTGTTCTGTTCTAAAATGTGTTTCTCTTCTTAATCTTATCCAATAACTATAAGCTGAAGGAAAATCTAGATGTTTTACATCCTTCGTTTGAATTGGTAGTTACCTGGTACTACCTGGATATTCTGTCAACTATGATAATCCATATCATTTTAAAAATTCTTTTCCAATTAGATGGGAGAAATTTTTTAATACATACATTTGGTCAATAAATATTTATTAATTACTAGTAATCATCAGACAAAAAAATACTACCCTTACATTTTAATTTGGTCTAATTATATTGGATTAATTTAATAGGTCTTTTTAATAAATTTTGGCTATTTTCAGTTCTGTGTAAATTCCTGTTTTTGTATTCCTTGCCTATTTCCATTGATGTGTTAATCTTTTTATTAATTATGAGAGCTCTTTATAATCTAGCATTCATTTTCCTATACAACTATGGACACATAATCAGACATAAAGGTTTCTCCCCCTCTAATTGCCCTTCAGAAAAGGGTCAACTTCTATTCATGTTCTTATGAGGACTCTCAGGATACATTTCTCAATTATTTGGCAAGGTGGGAGAACAAAGACTTTTATGGAAGATACACAGTATTTGTAAATGACCTTAGTCAAGGCTAAATTTCGATGCTTTATAAAGATTACCTGATAAAATTCATAATAATAGAGACAAAGTATTTAACAGTGATTTAGTAACTATTCCTGAGAGTCTGACCTCACAAATGTCAGTGTGGTTGTAAACAGACTTTAAAATATAGTTTAAGAAAGTGTTATAATTTGAACGTGAAAGCTTGAGACAGCAAGCTATCTCCTCTTCTACCAGTTTGATCCTATACGACCCTGAGATACCTAAAATAATGGTTGTTTAGGAAGAAAAACAGAGAAGGCAATGGCACCCCACTCCAGTACTCTTGCCTGGAAAATCCCATGGACAGAGGAGCCTGGTAGGCTGCAGTCCATGGGGTCGCTAAGAGTCGGACACGACTGAGCGACTTCACTTTCACTTTTCACTTTCATGCATTGGAGAAGGAAATGGCAACCCACTCCAGTGTTCTTGCCTGGAGAATCCCAGGGATTGGGGAGCCTGGTGGGCTGCCGTCTATGGGGTCACACAGAGTCGGACACAACTGAAGCGATTTAGCAGCAGCAGCAGCAGGAAGAAAAAAATATTTTTGGATAACACAGCTTTTTATAAAGTCAGTGGAAAACAACATAAGTAGAAATTATGTAGTGTCATTTGTTAGCATATCATTGTATTAAAATTCTAGACTTTCCTTAGTAGTTTTATCCTTTAAATTAAATCAGCATATTTACCCAAAATCTTAAATGCTCAAATCTCATGGATTTTTTTCACATAAAATCTTGGGCTTCCCTGGTGGCTCAGATGGCAAAGAATTCACCCGCAAAGCAGGAGACCTGGGTTCGATCCCTGGGTCAGAAAGATCCCATGGAGAAGGAAATGGCTACCCACTCCAGTATTCTTGCCTGGAGAATTCCAGAGACAGAGAAGTCTGTTTGTTTAAAATCTTAAACGTAAAAGAAAAAGCCCCACGTTGTATATGTCCTTTTCCCAGTCCGCCTCTTTGTTCGTATCAGGTGTGATAGAGCAGATACAGCTCCTTTCTCAGGCACACTTTTTGTGGGATGAATACAGGGGCCACTAGGGGAGTAACTTCCACAAGGACATTCAGATTCTATATGGCAAGAGGAGGCTGACCTTCAAGTTTAGTAACATTAAGACTTTGTCTGTGAACATTGAAAGAAAGTGAAAAATAAGTGCCTGATCTTCTAATGTGTGCTATAGTCTCTACTTCTATGAGTTTCAAGGCCAAAAAAAGGAATAAAATGATCAATCTTACCGCTCCAGAGTGTATACTTTATAAAATCAAATATAATAATATAACCAATATAATAATTTTTCAGTTCACATTAAAATGGAAAAACACACAGCCTGTGTATTTGTGGCGATCGCGATTTATCAATCAAGTACTGTAAGATAGAGAACTTTCTGATTTTATCAAAGGTTACCTTATTTGTTTGCCAAAGTGATGTGTCTTTGAAATAAGCTTTGCAGTAAGGCAAATTGTTACAAATATGTTGATGTTAAAGGTAGAAATATAGAAAATATAGACAAAGTACTGGTATCAGAATTATAAAGGACATTTCAGATATTTTGCTGAATTTTAAAATTTCAGGTAGCCATTTGTCAAGACTAACAAAGTGAATTCTCTAGAAGATCAAGGACTTTAATATGAAATGTATTTATTTGCATGCAGGAAGGGTAACTTATTTCAAGTTGTATTTGTCTAAAGCTATACACTTTAGCTTTTTGTGAAATGGAAACAAGGTAATAAAAAGTTTTAAACTACTTAATATAGTAAATTAATGAGAAGACTTTGAATTAGAAAATAAAAATAAGGTGTTAAATTTTTGTTTTAAAAGGAAGCATGGACAAGTTAAAAGCATAATTTTTTAGGGAAAATGAAGTAAAAACTCTTTTGGGTATAGTTGTTGTTTTGATGAGAAACTGGATATTAAAATTTCAAAACTTAATAGTAAATTTCAGTAGTAAATTAAAATCACAGGCTAAAATTTTAATTAAAAATATATACTTTACAAAATATATTTGATAGTTTTCTGAAAATAGCCTGATAATACTTCAGAGTTATAAAAAGCTATTAAAAGTTTATAAAAAGTTGTAAAAGCTTTTTCTAAGGTATTTCAAAGTTGTTTTAAGAAAAAATATCAAACCTATTTTCAGAAATTGTGGCACAATGGAATTTCAGTTTGTTTAAAAACACAGATAAAAATAACAGAAAGCCCAATAATAGCAGAAAAAAACCAAGATTAAATTTTATGTTATGGGTCCCATTGTTAAAAATACAACTACACATTTTTCTTTAATTAGTTTCATCATTAGTAAGATTGATATTGCTAATAGATTCTCATTTAATAGAATATTGTATGATGACTGTTTGCCCACCATACTCCTGGGACATAATTTTGAGTGATCCTTGCAGATCTAGGAAAGAGCAATAAATCTTTAAAAATGAGACATTATTTTAGCTATCAATTATCTATAAATTACAGTATATACATTCAGTTGGAAAATTTTTAAGCTTTTTAATTGTTCAGGAAATTACCAAAAGGAAAAAAAAAGATGGAGAGTAAGTTGCCCATAACTCTATTACCATGTTTAATTGCCATTAATTTCTTGCATATTTTCTAACATAATTTTCATATTTTTATAATAAATTATAACTGTATATAATAGTCCCATCTTTTTACATAGTTTTATTTTTATGTTTTTAATTGAAATCTAAAACATTACTCACTTTATAATTATAGTTGGATATTTCAATATTCTTACTCTCAGCAAGTGATAGAAATATTAGAAAGTAAGTCAGCAAAGATCCCGATGATTTTCACAACATCATTAACCAATCGAATGTAGTCAACATATATATAAAATTCTCCATTTTACAACATATTTTGCTCAGTTGCCCTGGAAAAATCACTGAAAATTCAACAGTTAAAAAAAAAGAATCCAGTTGGAAAGTGAGCAAAGACATGAACAGAGTTTTCTCTGAGGAGGACATGCGATAGTGAATAGGCTCATAAAAAGATGTTCAACATGTTTATTGTTTGACATCATTAGCCATCAGAGAAATGTAATTTAAAACTACAGTGAGATATCACCTAGTAGAATGGCTAAAAAGTAGTAACAACATCAAAATGGTGACAAGTTGGATCACTCACACCTTGCTGATGGGAATGTAAAATGGTACAGCCAGTGATGAAAACAGTATGTCAGTTGCTTAATAAACTAAACGTGATTACTGCACAACTCAACAAGTACCCACTGGGCACTTATCCCAGAGAAATGAAGACTTTAGTTCACAGAGAAATCCATACATGAATAATGTTTATAGCAGAAAGGGAACCAGAGAGCTCACTGAGAGTCTCCTTTTA